TGCACTGTAAGTCGCTTTGGATAAAAGTGTCTGCTAAATGCATCAATTATAAATTATTATTATTAATTATTATATTATAATATGCACTGCTGTTTTAAAGTTTGGGTCTGTAAGATTTGTTCAAAAATACAGTCAAAACAGTAATATTGTGAAATAATATTACCAGTTAAAATAACAACTATTATATATTTTATAATGAAATTTATTTCTGTGATGGCAAAACAGAATTTTCAGCATCATTACTCCAATCTTCAGTGTCACGTGATCCTTCAGAAATCATTCTAATATTCTGATTTGGTCCACAAGAATAGTTTTTTTTTGTGTCAGTGTTGAAATATTTTTGTGGAAAACACATATTTTTCTTTTCGGGATTCTTTGATTGCCTCAATGGCGTCTAATCATTTCTGTTATTGTACTAATTACCGTTACACCAGCAATTCAGAACCCCAACAATATTCAGATTTCAATGAAAACTGAAATTATTAAACTAAATGGTGTCCCTGTTTTAATAATATGGTGTTTCTGCCTAAATCAAGATTCCCAAAAGAAATGGATTTTTCTTGTGCTTTAGTCTAAGACCAGCTTGGATGGTGTGGATGATAAAAGTATAGATACACAACCACCTCTGCCGCCCCCCAAACTTTTGAACAACAATAGTGTAATATAATATAATTTTTTTTTAATGCTGTTGATTACAGATTGTAATGTCCGAGAACCGTAAGCCCTCTGCCGTTTTGGAGGAGAGAGTTCACGATTACCGCTCCGAGCCGAATCTGGACATGCCAGACTACCGCGGCACTCCTCTCCACCGAACATACCAGTCCTCCCCTTTCCAGCTGGACTCCTTCAGCACGACGTCTCGTTCATTCAGTCTGAAGCAGGGAGTGAACAGGGCCGACCAGATGCCACTGGGTGGCAGCAAACCAGAAACGGTCACTTCCACCCCTCACAAAGGAGTCTTCTCTCCTGGGACGTTATCGGGCCGCAATGGCAGCCTATCCTACGACAGCTTGCTAACCCCCAGCGTAACGCCGTCTGTGGGCGAGTGTGCCGCTCACCCAGGAGTGCCCTCTATGGGTTTTCATTCACCTTACCTGCCCACTAAAATGTGCCATGTACGAGGGCCCGAGCTTCAGCGGCACATCGGCCCGCCGTCCTATAGTCCTGTGCACGTCGGAGCAATGTACGGTCGCCAGTCGCTGCTCTCAAGAGACCGAGATCCCTCACCCGTCCGCTACGACAACCTCTCCAAAACCATCATGGCTTCCATCCAGGAGAGGAAGGAGCTCGAGGAGAGGGAGAAGCTCATGCATCGGCACGCTCAAGCCTACGCCAACGATTCGGGTGTATTTGACACCTGCAGCGGAGCCGCCTACGGACTCCCACCTGGCACATGCTACCCCGACAGATCCCGAGAGCCCACTCCTCCTGTGTGCGGCTCTCGGGATAACTTGATGGGAGTCGGGGTAGTGGGATACCATCCCCGAACACCCGTTCTGCGTTCCTCTGCATCCTCGCTCTCCAGAGCACCGAGGACTTCCACGACGTCCCTCCACACCGATGCAGGTGGTGCGAGCCGGACAGTCGAGCGCCAGTATCGCTCTCCGGTGCACCAAACACACCACTCCCCAACAGCTGTGCCCCGTTCCCCGACGTATGCGCATCAGAAGGTCGCCTTCATTAGCGCCCTGGAGAGGGCAGACTCGCAGCGTCTTGGTACAAGGTATGACACATAGCATCCACTTTAAACCAATCAGAAAAGGACGTGATGTATAGACTAAACGGTCTTGATATGTACGCTCTGATCCGGCGGGGTCAAGAGACTTCAGAAAAGAGATTTCCATTTATTTGTTCATTTTTGAGTACTGCTTTTTTTGTACTTTAATCAATAAATGTTATCATTATTGCTATTTAGAATATATACGGTTACGTTTTTTTGCCTTTTTGCAGAGATGAAAACAAAAATGTTGTGATTATGTATCTGTTAGCAAAATAAATGTCTTTTTTTTTTTGCTTTCCCCCATTTTCATTTCATTCATGAGCTTATGACACTTTGCATGGCATGTACTTCTGGCATACTGTACATTTTATTGCATTATTGTAATCTCATAAATGGTGTCAGAATTCAGTGTAATATACAATAATTATGATTTGATATCCATTTATCTCTTCTTGTTCTGTTTGTGTTGCTTATCGTGCTTAAATAATGCTTTTTAATCATTTTACACACTGTATTTTTCTTTGCTTTTTTCTTTGACTTTGACTATTTTACAAATGACTAATACCAGACTGCATGATTGTCTTTAAAATTATGATTTATTACAGGGCTCAACAGAAAGTTTTTTTTTTTACTTTCCATGCCAACATTTTTATAGATCCCATCAGAAAGAATCACCCGTTTTATTTTTTTACAATGTTTACATTTTTAAAAAAATTTTTTTTATAGAAATAATATTCATTTATTTTTTAATTACACTAATACACTAAAAAAAAGGAGAAGTAAAGAAGGTAAAGAAAGCATAATGATAACAAAATGCAAGTAAGACATAAGAAAGCTTAAACATAGCATAAAAAGAAAATGCAGTATCATAAAAAAAAGATTGTAGAAGAAAAACAATCTTTGCAAGGCATAATTTGTGGACCAGTGCCTGTTTTGTCAACTGGCCCTAAACTGACTCCTTGTTTTTGAGTCCTGTATTATTATCTCAATAATACAATCCCTTCCACCACTCTTTAATACTGTCCTCTTCATCATGAACTCATCTTCATTTGTAACATTTCAGTCCATGTAGTACGTTTGAATCTCTTCCTTTCTAAAGAAGGACAGAGAAGGATAACAGTTCACGATACAGTTGGAAAGCAACCACTTCAAATATGTCTTCCTGTTTTTTGATATTTTCTCCACATAGAGAGGGCCTCTGTCAAGGTAAAGTCAATGGGCAACTAAAGGGCCAAGCACGTGACTGTCATCTAGGGACTCCTTCTGGAACTCCCAGCAGACACGCCAATGTCAAAAAGGTCACAGGAGTGGGCGGGACTACATATGAGATTTCCGTTTGACGGACAGCTTGAAGAGCCACTGCCTGTGAGGAGAAGCACTGCCATAGCAATACTTGTGCTCAAGTTTCTCTTTTTTTTTTCACAGTTTGAAAAAAAAATAATATTCAAATGCCCGATCAGGAGAAACACAGTTCTGATGGGGAAAGTTTTTGCATTGGCCATTTCTTTGCTTAAGAGATGGCAAGCAACTTTCCATGTGACCCAGTGTATAGTATAACAGGAGTGCTTTGTCAAAGAAGCGTTGTATGTTTTTAAAGTGTCAGCCATCAGGATATAAATCGCACACAACAGAAAATAATGGTTTAATTGCTTAAAATGGAAATTTAAAATATATATACCATCAAGGGCTGAATATGTACAGTGTCAGTTCAGTTGTTTGTATATAAAATATCAAAGTTCGCATATTGAATGCAAATGTGCTCAGTATGCAGGTCTTTCACACACTTGAATGTGAGTGTATATGTACTTGCCAGTAACTCTTTTATGTTTTTGTGGTTATGCTGATCTAATAATCAGGGTTTCATCTCAAATGCATTTCTCTGTTAAGCTATCAGGTTCCAAACAAACCATAACAGCACTTGTGTACTTTAAAAAAAAAAAAACGAAGCAGAAGTTTTATTTTTCAAATATGGTGGTCATTTACACGTTTTCTAATGTAAAACTATAAGCTGCCATAGAAATAAACATAAATGTGTATATGTAAAAAATATTGTTATCACCAGTTTGTTAAAACTTTCTTTAAAACTTTGTCTTTCTTTATAAAAAAAAAAAAGTATTTTATAGTGGGAAAAAATATGAATATGTAAACAGAAACACACCATGTATTAGCAGCACTGGCCACGTTAAAGCCATATTTTTACCTAAAGTCATGATCTTCGCAAACTCCAAGTTGTTTTATTGCTTTACCATTTCCATTTATTTGTAATAGATTAGAAAAGCATAACAATGGTAATTCATGGCTGCATCCCAAATATTTTCATTTCTTTTATTTTTATAATATATTTTTTTTAACCCGACTTTCAAAAGATTGGTATATTTAACTTTTTCTGCAGATATTCAAATGAGTGGGTGTTTGGATTTGTTTGAGTGGTTTATTTTCATTTTCTGTGTCTTTTTTGCATATTTTTATAATTTATTTGTACAAATTGATTAGTATGCATTGCCATTTGAAAGTAGTACTTTCTGTTCAGATTTTTTCTCAGTGAATGAATGTTGAAAGTTTAAGATGTTATTATAGAACGTTTTTGGGAAACTGCAAGAAAGTTGAAGTGAAGATGCTTGTTTTTTGAATGCTGGATCCATTTGAGAGACATAATGATGTTTTTTTTTAACTGCTGTTAAAGTTTGGGGACAGTAAGATTTTTTTTTTAAAGAAATTATTATTTTTTTTAAACGGTAAAGACAAAAATGCGTATTACATACATAAAATAACATTGTTACAAAAATACTATTTATCATTTCTATTTCTTTTAAACTCTTTTTGGTCAAAGTTTCTTTAAACTGTAATAATATTTGACAATATTACTGTTTTACTGTAGTTTTGATCAAATACAAACAACGCCTTGGTGAGCATAAGAGACTTCTTTGAAAAACGTGAAAATCTTACAAGCCATAAACTTTTGAACAGAAGTGTATATCAAAGTCAATTTCTTCTTATGTCCCTTTCATTCAATTTGAGGAAGTTTAAAGCCTCACCGTCCCTTCTCACTTTCAGAAGTAGTTGCAAATAGTCCTTTTTGAGGGCAAATAAATATCGCTCGGTAACTATTACTTTTTTTTCAAGAGAGAGACAGAGTATGAAATTGTCCCTGCTAGTGCGAGACATGCTAATAAAAAAATAAAGTGACAGGCACTTATGTAGTTAACAGCTGAAAAGGAATCTGTAATTATTCTTTTCTCAAGAAATTAAATGGACAGCACAGGTGAAAGTGGCAAATGCCTGTTAACAGAAAAACGTCACCCTGTGGCCTGTTTCATAATTAAAGACCTAACAATTTTATAAGGATGATTTTGTAGGGAAGTGTTGATTTATGCTATCGACGTCTTTGACAGGGGGATCTTCCAGATGTCTTGCTGACTGAAAATGCACCGCATGTGGAGTCCTCTGCTGCTCATCAGATGACTTTCCAAGGAATTCATATTGATTTCCTCACAGATCTGCCTTAGGGGTCTAACGGACTACAGACACTCAAGCACTGACAGAGTACAAACGTTATTTTGGTGCATGTAAAAAGAGTCATTATCATACTTTTTCCAAGTCAAACAGCTCCTTGAAACTGTAAATAATTCATGTGGTCATGCAAAGGCCTTTACAGTTTGCTAGGCTCCATTTCTGTGAATGTTTGACGGTGTTCGGTCACATCATCATCTCTGTCCTTCACTGCCGCTGTCTGGCACAGCGTCCCTTCTGTTCAAATGAAACCAGTGTACAGTTAAAACAAAAAAACAACAACTGTGGGACTCTTGTGTGAGGAAGTATTTCGCTCAGATGAAATTAAGACATTGTAGTTTCATACCAAGGTACATCTATTATTTTTGTTCATCAAGGGGAAAACTGAATAAATATAACTTGAATATTCATTTGTCTCATCCTTGTTATTTTTCTTCGGTTTTGAAAAATGGTAGGTAGATAGTTTTTTTTTAATATTCATTTAAATAAATGAATAAATACAAAAAGATACAATTGTCTTTATTGAAAATTTTAAATCTTTTTAGATTGCTAGATCTGGTATGTACTGCTCGTTTTGGATTCTTAATACATAAAAATGACTTAATTACACATCTGTGATTAAAATATTTTTTTAATTCTTTACTTTAACCTGAATTTTGGTCTCAGCTTTGTAATTTCTCATCGTTTTAAGATTAAGATTGTTTTAAAATAGATGACAGACAGAGAGATAGATACAGGTGCGTCTCAATAAATTAGAATGTCGTGGAAAAGTTAATTTATTTCAGTAATTCAACTCAAATTGTGAAACTCGTGTATTTAATAAATTCAATGCACACAGACTGAAGTAGTTTAAGTCTTTGGTTCTTTTAATTGTGATGATTTTGGCTCACAGTAAATAAATAAAGTGTAATTGGCTCCACAGACTTCATTTTCATATTAGAGAGAGGAATCAGAGGAAAACATCATTCTGTCCGAGTTGGCCGCACAAATATAAAGTAGCCTAAATGAAAACAAAATTTCTTCCATTTTACGAAGTAGATTAAAGGTAATTCCCCTCCCTAAAGCATTGTGCAATGGTATTAAGTGCTCTCTCTCTCTCTCTCTCTCTCTCTCTCTCTCTCTCTCTCCGCGCTCCCTCAGGTGAATGGAGAGAGGGAGAGGAGTCCTGCGTGCTTCTGCAGCCGAGCTCAAGTGACTAAAATGGGGCTTCGCGGACTGAGCAGCACGGGGGTGTTCCTGACAGTCTGCCTTCTGTGGGTGACTGGATGCTTCACCCAAAGAGTGAGTACAAGTGTGTGGCAGTAGCCCACTTTCTCTTTTGTTTGTCTGCAAGTAGCATGTAGTAGTTGAAGCAACTTTGTAATGTTACGTCTCTTGGTCTGAAGGGAATTTAATTCGGAGGTTTGGGGAAGGTGTTGTGATGAAATGTGGAGCAGCTTGTTGTGTGGTCTGGGTTCGGCTGAGGGCTCAGTTCAGCGCGGCCAGTGGTTCTGTAGAAATACAAGAAATAACTATATAAATGAGAATTCAAATTAATCAGTTTTACTTCCAAATATGATTAATATTTGACTGTTATGTGATCAACATATAGGAAGCCACTTTTTGTCATGTGACAAGAAATAAATCAGATTTATAGACCCCTTTAGACCCTCATTATTTTTTTATTTAGTTATTTAATGTCCCATGTTTTAAACTTTATGAATGTTTATTTTCAAGTCAAATGGGGTAATCCTAAGAAAACCTTGATATTAGTAGCTCAAGAGTTCATGATATTTGTTCTTGTGTATTCAGTACTTTTTACTGTTACAGTACAGTATTTTAGTACTTTTTACTGGTTGCTTACACCATGTGAAAATTTTAGTCATTTTCAAAATGTTTGGAAATAGAAAATGGTATTTTTCTAAAATGTTCATTAAAATATTACTGAGAAAACATTGTGATTTTGGGAACCTGTCTGCATCATACATAGTACATAGTTGCATTATATTTTGTTACATCATCTCATTGTCATAATAGAGCTATTTTGTTTCAGAAAAAAAAAATCGAGTTGTTAAAGTTTTTTTTTTTCTTTTTGAGTTTATGAAACAAAGACATTCAGTGTTATAGCACTTGCGGTTTGTTTCTCAGACCTGTCTATATGTACAGTCATAGATCAGAACTGAATGACAGGACCTTTGATATTCCCTTCACTTTACCCTCTTTTCTTATTCTGTCAATGTTCTCATCACAGAGTCTGTACATTGTTTATGTAGCTTCTCACATGCTAGGAAAAGGAGAGTTTGGGAAATATGTTGTTAAGGAAAAGCTAAGTGTGTTTTCGAGGTGATTGCCTTTCACCAATACTTATTCCCATCCCAGGCATGGATATGATTCATTGATACTTGTAAAGCAGAGTGCTAGATAGACATATTATGAGACAATTTTGATCTTAAATTTTAATGGTGCATAGAGTAATTTTCCCTCATAAAAAAACATCTACATACAATGAAACTCAATGCCAACAACAAGTCAGCATTCTCCAAAATATCTTTTATGTTCCACAGAAGAAAAGTGAAGTCATAGGTTTCAACATTAGGGTGAGTAAATGATGACAGAATTATAATTTATCAGAAATCTCTGAATTATGTAGTATATTCTGTCACTAGTTTCATACTGGTCTTATTTATTTATTTATTTTTGTGGGAAAGGTCAGCATCATTTTGACTGTCACATAAGGTCAAGGGCTATTTCTGAGGTGACGACCTGTCAGATTCAGTCATAATTCTCTTCCTCCATAATTCTGAATTCTGAGAATCCTGAGCCGCTAACAAAGGCTTTGTTGCATTGTTGATGTGCATAGCTTCAGTTACAGTGTGTGCTCCTCAGCGGCTCTGCAGTTATCTGGCCCCTCTAAATGCTCCCTTTGTCCTCTTGAATCAAGTTGATTTTCAGAACTGTGCAAATCAAGTTTGGAATTTGCTGCATGGCCCTCACAATCAGATGAAGAAAAAAAGCTTCCTTATATGATATTATGTAAGATAGGTTTAGATACTTGTCATTGGTTTGTTCTCAGCAATGACAAAGAGTTTTCATGCAGGTCTTTCTCTAGTAGTCCTCAATATTTTGGACAATGAATTGCTCTCGTGCTTGAGTTAATGTGGTTAGCACTGCATATAGGTCAGAAAATTCCTGCGTGCATGCATCTATTTGTGTTCACATATCTATGCAAAGCACTTGTAGCTCTGTGAGTGATTTCTCTCAATTATTCAACCTCACCCCACCAATAATGTTGTATCACACCCACACGATTCTGACATTTTCACCCAGCCGAATGAGAATGGAGAAAACCACTCGTAACAGTTTTAATGGGAGCAAACCACTAATATGCATTTCCTGGCCAGCAGAGCACGCTCTGTGTGAATTTGGAAATTTCAGAGTAACTGTTTTGAATGATTTGTGGAGAGTAACCACAAGAAATACAGTAGAAGTACTCCAGTGACCGCTATGGTCTAGTTGTGAACAAGTATTATAAATATTTTCAGGGTTACTCTGGAAAATCTGGAAAACGAAACTATTAAATACCAAAACCGTTTAAGTAAACTGCATTCAAAAGACAAGTGATTAAATCAGGGTTTACGCTTTATAAGACCGTACCTTCCAGAAAAAAAAACCTAGAATAAATCATACAAATAAAAAATTAATTAAATTACATCAACTAATTACATTTAATTACATTTTCATCCAATATTATTTTTAAACATTTGAAAATATTTAATGCTTTTTCGTTTTAAAATGTAATTAAATGTCATTCGTTTTTTTTTTATTCATTCATTGGTTTCATTTACATTATTAATTAATACATTTCTCTCTGTTTGAAGAAAATCTCTTTCTGTGTGAAGTGCAGCAGCTACCACTGCTCTTTTCATCCAAATATTATTGTGAAATATTGTCATATTCCAGTCCTGCTGGCCTCAGTGTCCAGTGGCAAGCTATGACTGATGTAACCGGTTGTAACACATCATCACGGGCTCAATAGTGCCTCGAACAGTCTCACTTTTCACAACCAATAAATAGCCGTGCTCCTCTTCCAGCCCCCTTACAGGGGCCCATAGCGTGTTTACGGGGGACTCATGGGGGTGTTTGTGCATTTGAGTGTTTGAGTGTGTGTGTGTGTGTGTGTGTGGCAAAAATTCCTTAAGCTCTCTGCTAGCACAATTTCAGTAGTCATATTGTCAGCTCATGTTATCTCTGAAAGCTCTGTTGTGAAAGCACTGTACAAAAGAGACCAGGAAAAGAACTATATATGAACTGTCAGTTTAACCGCTTATTTGACTTTTATTTTTCTGTTCAAAGCCTTTAAGTACAGATCATGTTTGAGAGACAAGCAGAGAATTAATTATTGTAAAACTGACAATAAGAACAGAGGTTGCGAACAGATGTGTGTAACCTATCAAATACAAGAAGAAGTTTCAGTGTGGTGTTTTTCACGTTGCAGTCCTTACTGCGGAATCTGCTGTTCCCTACGACAGCTGTGAGCTTATCTGGCACGGTTTTACTCGCACTCATTCAGTGAGTCAGCTACAGTTTGTTGATGTTAAAAGTGCAGGAGACTTGTTTTTCAGTTCAAGAGTTGCTGTTGCACCAACAGAAGGAATAGATGCTGTAATTCAAATAGAATAAAACTAAACAGAAAAATAAAAGGATGCTAATAAATGAAATAATTTAAAGGAAATATATAAGTATACCGTTTATAACATAATAAACAGCAAAATGTTTGCACAAAATTGCATGCATACATTGTGCTTATTGCTTTGCACTGTTATTCATTTACTGTAGTAAACTGTGATCAGTAACATTAGATTGACATCTGTGTCTGCATGTATAATATATGGGAAAGCCCCATGGCTATCATGTATTGTCATTTTCCAGATTTTCCAGGCAGCCATTAAAGTGTGTGTGTCTCTGTGTGTGTGTGTGTGTGTGTGTGTGTTGGCTACATGTGAAGAACTGCTCATAACACATAGTATCATTTTATCAAGTTTTTTCTTTAATTTTTAACAAAAATGTAGAGGGATACTTTTTATCTTTTGAGAATTGACTGGAAAATAAAAAGCTGGTATTTCAGCTTTTTTAACGCAATTTCGTTTGGTTTTGGAGGGCTACTTCCCTCCTAGTCGTTGTTATCTTCAAATTTTGGGTATGTGGATGGTAACTGGATTCAGTACAATTCACTATCTATGAAAAACATCACACTTTGGAAAAAAAAATAGATCAGAAAAAACAGTAAACCTTTAACATTAATACTTCTCACACATTACAACAAACACGAGACCATATGTCTTTAAAATCTGGAAACTATTTTTTAACTTTTCTTTTTCCAAAAATATGAATATTATAAACTGTATTGTAACTTTTTTTATGTTTTTGTTTGTGTGCATTCGTGAAGCTCAAGCAGTAGAGAATTGCAATCTAGCAATGCCAAGATTATAAGTTTGATTCCCAGCAAAGTTACCATGCTTGAACTGCTAAATCTTTACGCTTTCAATGCAGTATACAGTGCCCTCAGAGTTAACAAAATACTTTTTTGTGTGTGGTCCGATTGAGCCACGATCATCACAATCGTAATCAACATTTTCAATGCACATACGCATATTTTAACGCACACTTTGCAGGCATGTTCATGACCCTAAATGAGAAATTGCCACAATCCTAGGTTCCAGTATTTCCGACAACCCAATTTTGGTTTGCGTGTCAAATTGACATACAAAGTTTAAGTGATATTGTGTCTTTTATTTTATTTTCTCTCTCTAAAAGATATAAATAAGACCAAAAGCAGTGTATTAAAAAAGTAAATGGTCTGTTGTGATGTTTGATGTTGACTTTAAAAGACTTTTATGATAAATGATGATAAAAATGATATCATTTTTAAATGATACTCACTGACTAGTGAATGACTTTGAATGATCTGTCATTTAAGTATGCAAGTGTGTATTGCATGAGTGATTGGCAGCAGAGGAAGGGGGTCATCAGCTCTCTTTTGATGTAGCACAACTGGGGCGCGATAACCAGCGGTACCTTATGTAAATGCCTCCTACTTATTACCCTAGTTTCATTAAAATGCTATCTAACCAAACAGCGAAGCCTTCCAGTGTCCCCTGTGGGAGAAAAGACAACTTTACTAATTACGCCATGCCAGTGCGGGACGATGATGTAACAGAGCTGGGATGTTTGGCATTATAAGAATGTTCCATTTCCTATTCCACACTGTGGTACTTTGGACGCCATTCATGTGAAGTCTACCA